ACAGCTCGGCGCTGCGAATCAAGACAGAAAATCGATAACGGCCTTAGTCTCCATGGTGAAACTCGATGGTCTGGAGGAAAGGAATTCAGAGAGCCTGGTGGAATGTTACAAATGGAGACGAGGAATCCATGAGCAGGGACGACCTTTTCTTCTTGAACATGTATTGTCAAATACAGGCTCCATTCCGTCAAGATACCAAATCCAGAAGTGTATTTTGGGATGCCACGGTTTCCTTTTCTTACTTCTCGTTCTGGTTCCTTCAAAACCAGCTCGCACCAGGAAAGATTTTTGTCTCCAATGCTCATCTGGGAGTTTCTTTTGCAGTTTTTGGCCCCTTTCAAAATACCTTCCGCGGGAGGCGAAATAGCAAGCAATTACTTAGATCCGCACACCTCGCGCCACTTAAAAGATTAGTGTATCTCTCGGCAAATTAGGGGTTTTGTATAGGCTGAAGGGCTTCAATTCTTCATTCCTCGTTGTTGTTGTTGTCTCTCTCCCTTAAGTTGAGAGATTTTTCTAAGCCTCACTAGTTGACTAGTCCTAATTGGGTGCGAACGGGCCGGTAGAGAGCTGACTAATGCCTGAGGTACCTACTTCTCCGACAGTATCCAATTATCTCATAACAGGTCAGCAAGACTGTTGCCGATAATTGTTTGCCAAATTATGCTAATGCTGGTGCTCGTAAGGGAGCGGATGCCACCTAGTCTTTGTGTATCGACCGAGATTGATTTTATTTTAAGAAGCACCCAAGGTCGTTTTTACCGGTACAGCTCTTGGGTACCACCTTTCTGTTTCGACCATCTTGGTGTGACCAAGCCAAGGCGAGAATTTATGATCCACAGACGTCATTCCTCACCTGCGGGTTATTTTAAAGAGACCCTTTATTGTAGACATGTCGAGTTGGTTCTTTTCAAGCCCTGATCCAAGTTGTCGGCCTTGGTGTAGGAATCCGGAGCGAGGTAGAAGCCTACCTACCTAAGAAGATAGGCAGTGAAGCGTACCTATCACCTACCCGATAACAGCTAAATCGTATTCGTTTCGTTCGAACTAATTACAATAAACAGTTTGGATCGCAGTGAAAACCGGCTC